GGGACTTTTGGTCCCAGAGTCAGCAACATAGCCACAGAGGACTAGAGTGGAGAGTGAAGCATCCAGCTGATAAGAAGAGAGGGCCTACGCATAAGAACATCCACACTTGCAGATAATACCCACTTGACTTGGCGTCTATGACTGGATGATCAGAACTCAACCAGAAGAAGAAAGAAGAGGAAAAAAAGAGTAATCTGATACAATTGGATGAACTTGACCTACACCTATGGATGCAGTAGCTCAAAAGAGGGAACAAATCTGTACAGCGAGGCTCATTCCCACCCCCTCCACACACACAGTAGACAGGGATGGCCAACTTGGACATTGGCTACCCAGAATGGGGGAGGGGGTGCTAGAGTGGCAAGAAGTGACTGGCTTACAAGCTTTCAAGAAGGAGCCTAGATCCAGAGGGAATGGAGCAAGGTAGAACCTCCACTGAGTAGTATCCATTCTGCCTAGTCAGGGCTAATGAAAGGAGATGCGGATAGGTCTCTTGTGATACAATAGTGAATAATTGATATCAAGATTGATTGTAAGGAATGGTTGAGGAAGTATTCTTCCAGTATTTGCAAAGTATTACATGATTCAATCATGTCAGTTACAGATGAGTGGAGTTACAGCATACATCTTTATTGTTTCACTTTTGACTTGTCCATTAACATAAGCAAAAATGTCAACCAACATTCGTGTGGGAGTACACTACATTTGTCAGTGACATGAGCAACTTCTTTGCTGAATTGGATAATAAGCATTTATTCATGGTCTTATTTTGGTCAAATCATGATTGAATTGTAAATATAGAATATGAATACAGGTGCAAAGGTAAATATAATGAAAACATTCTGTGAGAATGATTCTGTGACAATCAGTGATCTAGATGGCATTTACAATAATGTGTTTTGTTATTGCTTGTAAATGATGAGCTACATATTCTTTATACCAGTAAAATATTAAATTTAAAAAAAGATTGATTGTAAGGGCTGGAAATGTAAAGGGAGATGTTTTGGAGCAAAGGGAGGGGAGTGATTAACATTGCAGTCTAGGAGTGGAGGTCTCTGGGACCATCAAAGGAGAAAAGCAAAGAACGAGACCCTAACCAGAGACGCAGTGACACCAGAGATGGAAGCAGAGATGATGATGCGGAGAGATGGAGCAGCTGGGGACTTTAGAGCCAGAGAGGGAGAGGGGCTGTGTGCTGAAGACTGGGGGACAGGCTTGCAGGGTTGATGATGCATGGAGGGTATTGTAACCACGGCAATGAAATCATATATGATAGGATGACTGTAAAACTAATGTTCTCCCATGTAAACTATCACATAGTTGAAAATAAAACATTAAAAAAAAAAAAACCCTACATTGAACATTTTATAAAGAAGTAAATAAGAAAAAAGGGGGGGAGTATAAAGGCATGAAATACCTGGCTTACAGGCTTTCATGA